GGGAGGGGAGGCCGGGCTAGGGGAGCGTGACGCAGGGAGAAGGGAAGGGACAAAAGAGAGGCCGGGAGGCAGCGGAGGCAGGCTCCCTCCCTCCCTCCTCCTATGCTAGTGCCCGCTCAGTCTCTGCAGCTTTCTACCCCTTGGTTTTCTCCATCTCACCTCCCTTCGTGACTCTCTGCCTCCTGCCTTTTCTCCCCCCCCCGCTCCCCCCGCACATGTCATTCTTTTTTCTGGCCTCCCTTCCTAATGTCTGCCCTCCCTTTCTGCCTTTCCCGGTGTCTGCGTATTTCACCTTTTTTTTTTTTTTTGCTAGTGTCGGGTCTTGCATTTTCTCTCTGCTTTTCTCCCTTTCTGGCTGGGTGTTTCCTTTCCTTTCCTCTCTCCTCTGTGCACCTTCCCCAACCAGGGGCTGCATTCCCACCCACCCCTTTCGGCTCTCCCAGCCCACCACCCCCCTTCTCCTGCGCAGTGTTTCTCCCCTCCCCGACACTGGAACTCAAAGGTGAATTAGACCCGCATATCATCTACCCTTGCACACAGAGCTCACGGTCTGATGAAGGAATCAGACCCAGTCGCAGAATGTCCCATTCCAGGGTGATGGAGTGTGACTAGGGTGGAACCTCGGCGGCGGGGGGGGGGGGGGGGGGGGGGGGGGGGGGGTCCGAGACCAGAGACTCAGGAGATAGGGGGTGGGTGGGGCGGCGGATGGAAACCCACCCTGCTGCAGTCAGCAGATGACCCGCCAAGAAGGCGTGGTTGCTGGTGCGACCTCTAAGAATCAGAAGTTAGACCTGAATTGTTGAGGACAGAAGTAAAGGAGGTCCTGGTCCAGGGCCCAGTTTAGGCAAAAGCCCAAAGGCAAGAACCAGGATGATAGCGGAGGGTAACAAAGCAGTTCAGCACGATTGGGGGCCGAGAGCCACGAAGCGCGCAGAGTAGTGGGCGGGCAGTTTTGAGGTGTTCAAGGCCAAGCTCAGCACGTAGTTGCCTGAGGCTAGCTAGGAGCCTTGGAGCGTTTTGAGAGAGTCGGGTGAGAGCTGAACGTCGGACTTTTCTGAGACCTGGGTGAATTGGAAAGGAAGAGGTGGTGGACTCTGAAAAGTCCTACTTTCTCCTGGGTAGGGACTAGAACCAAGGAGGGAGTCAGGAGGAGAATGTCAGATGCTAGTGGGAATTGTCAGGGAAAAGAGGCAGAGATGTGAAGAAGCTGGCTATCCGAACCAGGAGAGAGAGGAGAGGCCACAGAATATGAACGAGAATATTGTGAGCAGCCTATTAGAACCTACGGATATCAGAGGGGTACAAAGGGAATTTTGTATGCTTATGGTGCACTCATTTTTCTCCCCAGATAGCATCACTTTTTTACACCTGTTTTAACAGCATACCCTAAAGGTTTCCTCATACCCATTCATTTTTAATGACTGTTTATTTAACATTTTATTTAAATTATTATGTAAATATTATAACTAATTGTATATTCTAATTATAACTAATGTATATAAAACATTAATTATTTTGTAATTTATGACATCAAAGGAGAGACCAGGCCTTTTTTTTAAATACGTGTGCCTATTCAAATAATCTAGGGTTTTTGTTTGTTTGTTTGTTTTTGCCAGTACTGGAAATGAATTGAATACAGAAAGTAAGACATTCTAGGCAAGAGTTCTGCTGTCCCCAATCCTTCCTAATAGTTGCTGAGTTTTGCTTTGTTTTTAGACAGGATCTCACTATGGCCTGCAACTCACTTTGCTGAGCTGCATGTGAGTGCAGGTGCCTACGAAAACCAGGAGAGGGCATCGGATACCCTGGATCTGGAGTTAAAGGCCTCTGTGAACCACCAGGATTGGTGATGAGAACTGAACACCACTTGTCTTCAAGAGCAATACATGTTCTTAAGCATTGAGTTGTACCTCCAGCCCGTCTTTTTTTATTGATTTTATTTATTTTTATAATTTTTTATTGAGCTTTACATTTTACTCTGCCCCCCTCCCTGCCTCTCCCTTCAGCCTTTCAACCTACCCCCAAGGTCCCCATGCTCCCAATTTACTCAGGAGATCTTGTCTTTTTGTACTTCCCATGTAGATTAGATCTATGTAAGTCTCTCTTAGTGTCCTCATTGTTGTCTAGGTTCTCTGGGATTGTGGTTTGTAGGCTGGCTTTCTTTGCTTTATGTTTAAAAACCACCTACGAGTGAGTACATGTGATAATTGTCTTTCTGGGTCTGGGTTACCTCACTCAAAATAATGTTTTCTAGCTCCATCCATTTGCCTGCAAAATTCAAGATGTTGTTATTTTTCTGTTGTGTAGTACTCCATTGTGTAAATGTGCCACATTTTCCTTATCCATTCTTTAGTTGAGGGGCATTTAGGTTGTTTCCAGGTTCTGGCTATGACAAACAAAGCTGCTATGAACATAGTTGAACACATGTCCTTGTGGCATGATTGAGTATCCTTTGGATATATACCCAAAAGTGGTATTACTGGGTCTTGAGGAAGGTTGTTTCCTAATTTTCTGAGAAATCGCCACACTGACATCCAAAGGGGTTGTGCCAGCTTGCATTCCCACCAGGAATTATTCCCTTTTCCCCACAACCTCTCCAGCATAAGTTATCAGTGTTTTTGATTTTGGCCATTCTTACAGGTGGAATCTCAGCGTTGTTTTTATTTGCTTTTCTCCGATGACTAAGAATGTTGAACATTTCAGCCATTTAAGATTCCTTTGTTGTTTAGGTCTGTATTCCAATTTTTAATTGAATTATGTGTTCTTTTGGTGACCAATTTCTTGAGTTCTTTGTATATTTTGGAGATCAGACCTCTGTCTGAAGTGGGGTTAGTGAAGATCTTTTCTCATTCTGTAGGCTGTTGTTTTGTCTTGTTGACCGTATCCTTTGCTTTAAAGAAGCTTTTCAGTTTTACAAGGTACTGTTTATTAATTGTTTCTCTCAGTGTCTGTGCTGCTGGGGTTATATTTGGGAAGTGGTCTCCTGTGCCAATACGTTCAAGTGTATTTCCCACTTTCTCTTCTGTAAGGTTCAGTGAGACTGACTTTATGTTGATGCCTTTGATCCATTTGGACTTGAGTTTTGTGCATGGTGATAGATATGGGTCTATTTTTATTCTACATGAAATCCAGTTATGCCAGCACCACTTGTTAAATATGCTTTCTTTTTTCCATCTTATTTATTTATTTTGCTTCTTTGTCAAAAATCAGGTGTTCGAAGATGTGTGGATTAATATCTGGGTCTTCTGTTCTGTTCTATTGGTCCTCCTGTCTGTTCTTATGCCAATACCAGGCTGTTTTCAGTACTGTAGCTCTGTAGTAGAGTTTGAAGTCAGGGATTGTGATGCCTCCAGAAGTTTTTCTATTGTACAGGATTGTTTTGGCTATCCTGGATTTTTTGCTTTTCCATATGAAGTTGAATATTGTTTTTTGAGGTCTATGAAGAATTTTGCTGGGATTTTGATGGGCATTGCATTGAATCTGTCCTCCAGCCAGTCTTACTATATTTTATTTGAAGACGGAGACTCACTGCATTGTCTAGGCTGGCCTCAGTTTACCACAGTTCTCCTGCTTTAGTTTTCTAGGCTTTTCTTACTGGACCTAAACTGTAAATTATACTTTCTCATAAATCTATATGACAAAGGATTAACTATATTCTAAACAAGGTTGAGCACTCATGGTTTCAGATAAATATATTGCAATATGCCTCATTTCCCACCAATAAGAGGGAATACTCTGGCTGGCCTTAACAGTAGTTACCACATACAGTCTTTGTTGAGAGATGTGAACAGTTCCTGGATTTAATATTCTCTATAGGGCAAGGTTTCTCAGCATGTGAGAGTCAAGTGACCCTTTTGTAGCAATCACCTAAGACCATCCTGAATATCAGATATCTACATTACAATTCATAACAGCAGCAAAATTATAATTTGAAGTAGAAACAAAAATAACTATGGATAGGGATCACTACAGTGTAAGGAACTGTACTAAAGGGTTACAGCATTAGGAAGGTTGAGAACCATTGCTATAGAGTATATCATTTAACACATATCTAACAGTCTCCATGCAAAGATGAAGGACCAAGATTCTGTCATGGTAGGGATGGAAATCAGGGCCTAATATATGCCAGACAAGCACTCTATCAGTGAGCTAAACCCCAGGTAGGACTTGAGGTTCTCAATAGGAAGAAGCACAGACTCATAAAGTAAGACAGATATTTGTGCCCAGGCCCCCTTTTCACAATATGCTATATCCCTTCTTTGGAGGTGTGCTATATCTGTGAAAATATGCTAGTACTGGGGACCGACACTGGCACATTTAGACTTCTGCATCTAGAACTCCATGTGATTGAAAAGTACTCTTGTATCAGTCGCTATACATAGAGTAGGTATCTGGAATTGCTGTCACTCATCCACAGCCCTGCTGATCTCTTGTTCTAGCTTGGATTCAGCTGTGTTCTGTTGTGACTGTGAGCACCATTTGAGGTAACAGCCTATTTCTGAGTCACCTCTTGGTCCTTAGTATCACCCAATGCAGGCGTGACTCAGAGCAGGGATCAGGAGGGTGTTTGTTAAATGAGTAAATGGAGGGATGGGTGGATGTCAAATGGGTTGTTTAGATGTTAGTCTGGCACTTGCTTTAGCCTGTGTGATAAGGGAACGTAATTCCTGAAGTATGAGGCCTTTATTTCCATCAGGAAGTCTTGGGGAGATCTGTTCTTGTCCTCTGCTTCAGAAAATTCCAATTCACACAGAACCTAAGAGTCATTCAGGAAATGCCTACAAATTCCTGAAACTCAGGACTCATCATTTGTATCATTCTTGAAGACTGATTTATTTCCAACTCCTAGTGTTCAGGATCCGTCACTCCCATGATATCCCCTGGGCTAAGTTGCTTGGCACCAAGCACATCCATGCACACATGTATACATATATACACAATTAAAAGATTTTTAGAGTGCTTTAAATTTTAAATAAATTTATTAATTAAGGAATGGCAAGAAGATTGAAAGGGCAAAATGCATTTGCCATGCAAGTTTGATGGTGTACTCCATCTTCAGAATTCACATAAAATATCCAAATGTGGTTTCTCACAACTTTAACTCAGCAATGTTACAACTGGATACAAAACGAAGAAAAAACTTCCTAAAACTTGTGGACACATTAGTGCCCCACACAATGGTAGTAAATGAATAAAATTTAAAATAAAGATGTATTTTTTTAATTGAATCAGCGTTTGTTTTAGTTTTTTCCTTTCTGTTTACATTGACCTCACCTAAATCTTTTGAAAAGATAATTAGTCAATGCACTAATTATCCACCTAAAGGTTGCTTCTGGACTCCAATTTCTGTGACTGCAGTGGTGTAACATGAGGGCCAGCCTCCCCCCTCCCCCTCCCCACATTCCTGCTGCCTGGCTCCCAGCTAGTTTACACCCGAAATAATTACATAGAAACTGTATTCTTTTAAGCATTGCTTGGCCCATTATCTCTAGAGAGTTGGTTACTGGCTAACTCTCACATCTTGATTAACCCATTTCTAATAATCTGTGTAGCACCACGAGGTGGTGGCTTACCGGGAAAGATTCAGCATGTCTGACCTGGTGGCTGGCTCCATGGCATCTGTCTCATTGCCCTCTTCCCAGCTTTCTGTTCTGTTTACTCCGCCTACCTAATTTTCTGTCCTATCAAAGGGCCAAGGCAGTCTCTTTATTAACCAATGAAAATAACACATAGACAGAAGGCCCACCTACACAGTGGGCACAGATCAGTGCCGTGGTAGTCTTAGTCATATGATCATGTTGTGTTGCTCCCCTCATCTTATTCCACACATTTATGTGTTATTTCCTAACTAGCATATAGTTGTTGGATGAAAGGCCAGGTTTTGTTATAATATTTTTGTCTAAGTTTATCATATTTTTCTCATGTTTGCCACCTTGTTGCCCTCTTTAGCTGCCTTTTTATCCTGCTTCTTCTTCATGATTCCCTTCTTGATTTTATCATTTTTTACATTTTCATGTATGGGTGGTGCATGCTTTTGAAGGAGTGTGAATGCACGCAGAGTCTGGAGTTCGAAGGCAGGAATTATTTTCTCTCAATCTTCCACATTATTCACTGAGACAGGATCTCTCAACCAAACCTAGAACTCACAGGTACTAGTGAATATCTAGTCGCAGAAGCGAGCTTGCCCTGTCTATGCCGTATGAGGCTAGAATGGCAGGCAGGCTGCCATGCCCACTTTGCGTTTGTGTGGGTTTCTAGGAATTCAAACTCTGATCCCCAGGTTTGCAGAGAAAGCAGATCACCACTGAACTGTCTCCCCCAGCCACTTTTTACTTAAAATCTTGGCTTTCTTTTAAGATTTATATGTATGGGTCTTTTGTCTGCATGTATACCTGTGCTCCACATGTATGCCTGGTGCCTGTGGAGATGAGATAGAGACTGTTGTGGGCCACCAGGTGGGTGCTAGAAGTTAAATTCAAGTCCTCCACAAGAGCAACTAGTACTCCAAATTGCTGAGCAATTCCTGCAGTCCCTCCTGTCTTTTTTAGCTTTTCAGTGTACTAAGTAATGGAATTCATTATGACGTTTGCCTATACTTACACCATGTACTCTGTTAACACTCACCTCTACCTCTACCTTACCCCTTTTAGGCTCCTCCATCTCCCACTGATTGCTATCCCAATCATCAAACGGTCCCTCTTACAGCTTTCAAATCGTGTGTGTGTGTGTGTGTGTGTGTGTATAGATAGACTCTACATATATTTGTTTCACCTCACACTGCCCTCTCTTCTTCCCCTCTTCCTTCTTAGAATACTCCACCCTATGTGTTCCCGTCACATACTTTCAATACACTTGTGAATCCAGGGAAAAATGCACTATTTGTCTTCCAAGTCTGGGGATTTTGCTGGACATGAC